CCGGAACCGAAGTGCCCCCGCTCCGACACGAAAGCTATACAAAGCGTGGGCTTCGTTTTTGCTGTGCGGCTCCAGGAACGCCAAAAAAGGAGCGAAAAAGAAACCTATGGAAACTGAGTGTTTTTGAGCCTCTACGAGCTGTAAACCGCTTGAAACCTTTGACGGCAGTGCCGAAATGAGGGACCCTATAAAGTACCTATTCGAATCGGAGAAAAGTAGTCGGGGTACATGGGTCTTACTTGCGTTGGCACGTGTCAAAGAGAGAACGGCTTCATGAAATGTTTTTCTTAACCGATCCGACGAGGAAATGTTCACAGTCAACGAATCAGGATGGCCTAGTGATAGCGTGAAGGAATCTCCAGCGGACAGTTTGGGGGTGGAGGGTTGAGGGTTCGAGCTCGCCTCGGCGTACAAAATTTTTGGGCATTTTTTATGTTTTGCTGTTTTCGCGTTCAAATATGTCTGTGCGTGAGTATGCGTTCGATAACTGCCATTTATGGCACATTTTAAATGGGAACACTCCATGAATCAGTGCTATTAAATTATTACAGGTTTACAGTAGCCATTAAAGACCAGCCCGTAATTGGAAGTTACCTTATAGATCAGACCATGCCGAATCACGATATGGACTTATAATGTAAGCTAAACGGTGCCATTTATCGCTAATATGGAGTGACATGTTTCTCCCAATGAATGCGTTTGCTACACACAAGTAAGGGATGTGTAGCGCTACCCAGGCGCCAAATTACGTCGGCGCCGAAAATAGGACGTTGTCGAAATCAGAGCGGGCCATCGATTACCCCTGTAAACAATCTTTCAGCCAAAAAATTTTTTTCGACTTTTTTGGGTGTGTGCGTTGGTTGTGCCCGACAGTCTTTCTATAGAATCTACAGTGCCCGTCCCAAAAGGACCCGCCCTATTTATAAATATTTCAAAGATAAAAGTACCTAATGGGCCGATGAAACCATGCAAAGAGGAAGGAAAGGAGGCATTCCACCAGGTTTGCTGTCCTGCCCGGCGGCCTGCTACGTCGTCGTTTCGTCATCGTCTTTACGAAGATGGATACTCCGGTCACTACTGCCGACCAATGGTCCACCAAAACCCAAGAAATCGAAAAAAAATTTTTTGGCTGGAAGTCCGTCCATAAGGGTAATCGATGGTCCTGATTACGATTTTGACACTTATTTTCGACGTCGACGCAATTTGGCGCCAGTATAGCGCTTAACGTCCCTCATATGGGGGTACATAGACGTACCTTTCGCTCCTTTTTTGGCGTTCCTGGAGCCGCACAGCCAAAACGAAGCCCACTTTTATGGTTCATGGGCAAGGCCCTACAAAGTGCAATAAACCGTTTCGAAAAAGCGGGGCAGCCATAACGACTTACCTGAGAAACAGTTTGCATTCGCTTACTGGCTCGCTTGCTGCCTTGTGATCTAGAATTTTTGGATGTACAGATGCCCTTGGCGCATAGTGCAGGCGTTTTCGCGCTGAGCAAGTGCCACATTCGTATTTATGGGGGTGAACTACGCTTAAAGTAAGTTCTAGCGCCAATCTGACGAATTGACCCTGCTTCGCAAACGTGAAGCATCCATGGTTAGGTTCAGTCGATGTTACACACACTGTTCAGCTGCAGATACATTCTCTCCACAAAGCTCGTCTCCCCCGCCTTTTTAGCAATTCAGTTATCACCTGCCTCCATTTCGCATGGTATCCAGAACGCAAATTCCTTCCAAACGGCAAGCAATTCCACAAGAGACTTCCCTAGGAACTATGAACCATTCCTCGACCTAAATTGCTACCGCACTTTTCAAAGTTCTGTCAAAACCTCACATCTGGCTAGAAACCTCACCCCAAAGGTAGTTTTGCTCCCTGAACACGAATATGCACCCATTTGTTTGAGTGTTTTCTAGACTTGAAAGATACATTCCCCACAAAATGCAATGTAAGCTCCCTTCCAGAAATTCGAAACCCTTCATGGCATGTCCGAGAAGCAAGACCACATACTTACTGCCACCAATGCCGCCTGCGTTGAGCGTAAGGTGCTTCCCGCTATTCATGCGAAATTTTTTTTTTTTTTTTTCTTTTGGCTGCATACGCGCGCTTCCGACTCCGTTCTTCCTGTCGATTATAATCTAACACAAAACTCCGTTCAGAGAATAGCTCTGCAAATTTCAAAGGCAGGTTCGAGATCAGCGTCCAAAACCGCGTCTAGTGAGCTATATATCATTACAGACGGCCACTTTAACCTGACGACCTTCCTTAGTAAGATGGTTAATTTCTTTTCGATGAGGCCATGTAATACCAGTTTCGTTGAATCACCGATGACAAAAACTTGTGATATGCAATATGAAGACTGTTAAATTGAGAAAATGGTTTTGTGCCTTTTTCATGCTACAATGACAATGACACATCTACGTGCGTAAAAATGAAAATTAGAGATGACCTCAACCGAAACGGGCGCCTTTTGTCGAAAACTTGGGACAGATAACAAAACTATGAAATTGAAACTTCGATGATCATTCATATAATGAATTTTTTCCTGCTATTTTTCATGAAAAGAAAAACCACGCACAAAAAAATCTCACGTGGGACTTAATTTTTCGGTCGAAAAATGGCGCAAACGAAACGTACGCTAGGAGATTTGTTTTGTGATGTTTGACTGCTTGATCTCGAAGAAGCAGTCGGAGGAGGCCATCAAGTGGAAATTCGAACTTGTTTTCGACCCTGAAAATTCTCTTCACTTTCTTCTTCTTCTTTTCTTCGATTCTTCAAAAATATCTGCCTATATTTTGAGCGCCCCTTCGCCTCGAACAACAAAGCCCTTAATCTCTTTTGGCTTCCTTTTCAGCCATATTTTGTTATTTCATCTATTCAAATATCTGTACGTGAATAGCAATATGCTGTCGGCCACAACTAGAATACAAGCAATATGTCCAAAAAAAAAGAATAAAATGCAAACCGTCGTGCTCAGAATTCTGTGGGCGTTGTCGCACATGCGCCCTCGCGAGCATGTTGACAAATGCACTTATATCCATAAAGAAGATGTGTGCCTTTTCAGTTTCCACAGCTGTTGTGTTTTTTTCTCCTTTCCGTATACGGAGCGGCACGGCACGGAGGAAAAAGCAAATAGGTTTATCCACCCCTTTCGTCTCTCCCATCCGGCCATCGCAGAAATCTTAAGGCAGCGTTCAGACTTGTAGCGCGTACAGCGTCGCGCTACAGCGCCGCTTCGCAACGTACTGCTATTTCCAACGTTAGGATGATTAGAGTTGCTTACAGAGAAAAGTGGGAAGGCTGCTGGAGTTTCTTAGAGGAATTCAACTCGGGAAGGTGAGACTGAGTACAGCTGTAATCTATTCTGACATCCACCATCCTTGACAGTTACTTCATTAGTCACTATTTTTCTGGTACTGCTTTTAGCGTAACAGTGTCCTTCTGTCCTATTAAGAGCATTTTCTGCAAAAAACACCCAAAGAGTACTCGCGCCACCTAAAAACACGCACGCATGTTTTTGTTTTTTACCGGAGACAGAAGAACCCATAAAAAGCACCTCTTGTTTGCCGTTGGTTGAGGCATTGGTGACGCTAGAGCAGCGGTTCACGTGCCTGTTGTGGGAGATAAGGGGGCCATTTTCTTAAGCCTCCCCTAAAGCCACAAAAGTTACAGAAACGTCAAGCTTTGTTGCTGTCAATGCCTCGAAAAAACGACATAAATCTTTTTCTATTGATCACAGGCCAGAGATTGGGGCAAATACCGAAAGCAGACTTTCGCATCCCGTAATCCCAATAAGCGGCATTGGATTCTGTATTCATTCTTTCTGTATTCAACCCTTTTCTCTTTGTTTCTCATATTTATCTGATAGTGAGCTCCTGTTTTCTACTTTATCACATTTTAATGTAGTTTTTGATACAGAAGACTGTGATAATTGGTTTTATTTACCGTTTTTGACTTTAATTTTTGGTTCAGGAGTGCTATTTGATGTTTGATGGCTTTGCTTGATGCCTTGCAGTGGTGCCTCCGATGACGAAATAGTTTTTGGCATCCACGTACAGATGGCAAGCCATGATGTTTTTAGGTGGCGCGAGTACTCTTTGGGTGTTTTTTTTGCAGAAAATGCTCTTAATAGGACAGAAGGACACTGTTAGCGCCTTAAACAGGACACTGTTACGCTAAAAGCAGTACCAGAAAAATAGTGACTAATGGAGTAACTGTCAAGGATGGTCAGATAGTTACAGCTGTATCAGTCTCACCTTTCCGTGAATTTCTCAAGAAAACTCCAGCAACCTTCCCACTTTTCTCTGTAAGCAACTCTAATCATCCTAACGTTGGAAATAGCAGTACGTTGCGAAGCGGCGCTGTAGCGCTACGCTGTAGCGCGACGCTGTAGCGCTACAAGTCTGAACGCTGCCTAAAGAAACTATCTTTCTTGATGCTTCATCGAAATAAAGAGGTCTAGCAATTGGCTCATCCATAGCAAAGTCCTAAATACTTGCAGCTGTTATATAGCTGCCACTTGAAGGAACGAACTGATTGCTCGGCTATTCAAAGCGAGACTGTTCAATTCATCTTGAAGTTTGTTCACTTTCTATTCTTTCTCCTTTCTTTCTTCCTCCTAGTATCCCTTCCTATCAACTCAACGGATCAAATGCTGATCATAAGCGTGACACCCATACGCATTATAATGTTCAGCCAAAAAGGAATGGGAGGGTGGAACGACTCAGGAGCATATAGCACCTCCTTAGCCCCACGCGGATTACGTCCATTTCACTCCTACTCCTCCCTCACTCTACACATTCAAGTAATAGAATTGCAGGAACGACTCTTCAAGAAGGTGAAAAGCTCGAATACTACCGCCAACGAATTCTTGGGAATTCACACAATATCTCCAGACGCCACATTTCAATGACTTTCCAGACTTTACTGACACTATCGATCTATCTAAGTTTCCACTCAAAAATTTTCCTCCAGTAGAAAGTCTTGAGCGAACCCTGCGTATGTACTCACTTTCCCGGCACAATATCATCTTCGAGCCATTCCACAATCCAAAGCATCCACAATCCGTACAGTACAGATTTCCTCCGCTCCATAAAAATGTCCACTTCGCAGAAAGCGTGATAAGTCCTGATATACAAACTAATTTTTCACGGCTATAGTACTACATATTCTGTACTCTGGCACCTACTGCATTATTAGTTAAAGCCATGCGAGTTTAGAAAATCAGTACCGGAAAACAAAATTTGACAGCCAGTAGGCGATGAAGATGTCAATGGTGTAGTGAGTCCGCGAGATGATCATACAAGCCATTCCAAAGGCGGCAAAGAAAGTGCGGAATCCACTGGAGCAGACGCCATCGAGTCGGCAGGTAGTAAGCGATGCAAAGAGCACTTGTCACCTGGAATTATCTATTTTGCTCTTTGGAACATTGCCAAAATATGTTATCAT